TCCAGAGAACAAATGAGTTTATGGGCAGGAACAAAAACGCTTTGGCAATGCTTTGGCATTTTCTGCCAAAGCAGAAAATGTAAGGCAAATACTAAACAGCATTAATAGAAAAGGAATTTAAAATGCACAGTGATTCATATTTGCACCAGGAATTTTGACCCTGCTCACAAACCGTCATGGGCGCTGTGTGCCTAAGTACAGGGATTGTCAGAGATCTTGCATTATGCCAGGAATGGTCGAATCCTGTTCTGGCTGGTGATGGCCTCTCCAGCTATAAACCCAACTCTCAGCAGATCTGTTTGGATGTTAAATATGAGTTGGTTTAATTTAATTTATAAAAACAAACGTGGTGCCGCTGTGACCTTCTAGGCGGTTAGTTAGAAACGTAGTCAACAAAACCACTGTGAAGCCAGCAACAACTCAACAAATAAGTCATAAAGCACAGATAAAAGATGTCATCGCCAAACAGCCTCTCCTCAAACTGCATGTTTTCCTCATTTATCTGTGTATTTGCAAAACACAACTATGAACAAGGTGCTGTTTTGCACCTTGGGACGCTCCCTGGGAATGACCTGGTCTTCATGCAGAGCAGCCTGCAAGGGTGGGTTGGCTGCAGGGATAGATGGAGTCTGAGCACTGTCTCCATCTTGGTTGGCAGGAGGAAAGTCATGATGCTCGCAGGGGAAACGAAGAAGGATTAAGCCCTTCTATGGTAGTTATGTACTACACTGCTACCTATGCGAGAGGCAAGTCCATCACTATTGTGCACTGTATGGAAGAGATAAAGTAATCGTGGGATCATCTGTGTTATGCAGGTCACATAACAACCAGGGTTATGTTATCTCCAGATGTGGACCACTCTATGTGCCTTAGCCATTAGGTGTCCCCTCTCACATGACATGTCAGTCAGAAGCCCTGAGTGACCCAGTCAGAGGGGAGGACAATGAGATGGAGACCTGGGGAGCAGGAGTTATTTTCCAGTCCACTCCATGCCCTGCACTTTTAAACTTTACCTGCTCTTCTTCCTGCCCAGGGGTGCACTCCTGCAGCCTGGAGAGCTGCACAGAGCCTGTCACCACCGAGTCCCTCGGGCACATGTGTGGAGGGTTGCTGGAAGGCAGTGAAGACCTCTGGGTGGCAGTGACTGCTGGGTGAGCCTTGTAAGCAGATCAACGTTGTGTCTCTCCCCCCTTGCATCTCCCAAGGGCCGAACAGCTCATTGGAGAGGACGGCTGATCTACCTGTGGAGAAGGGAGCACCTATGGGAAGATGATGCTCTGCCATCAAGATTTAAAAGGGAAGGGACAAAGGTACATGCCGGTCCCCAGAATCAAACGCTGTGCATGGAACAATTGCTCTAGCACCTGAAATTATTGCTCTGTACACAGTCATTTACCTGGTGAATCAGAGAGTTCCGTCCTAACCCTGCAGCATGATAGGCCACTGTGCTGCAGAAGTATGCCCCAAAGCTGCACGGGGGAAAGGCGCGAGGATGGCGGTGGTGATAAGACCAGCAGAGGGAGGAGAAAGAGAAAGGGTAGTTTTATGGTGCTGAGTCACGGTGTTGCCCAGGCAAGGTCTGAGAGCAGAGTAGGCAGGGTTAGAGCAGGCGCAAGAGTCATCAAGGAGAAATCTCACTGCTTTGGGCGTCACCGGCCAGCAGGGTCACTGCCTGCAAGCTCTGGGAGCTGAGCTGGCAAAACTTAAACAGAGGGAGCGTGGAGGGGGCAAATCTTGATGTTGACTCTCCAGAGAGGCCGTAAAATTGAAGTTATGAAAATAGTGAAGCGTGGCAGAGGGCCACTGAGTTATGTCAATTCTCCACAACTGGAGTTTGGAGTGTGAGCAAGATGAGCTGGGAGTGTCATATCTACTGCGTAAAATGAGTATGTATTTATGGATCAGGTATGTGAGATAAGGGAATGACAGGCAAACATAGATACATGACTGTCGCTTAAGCCACTACAGTACGTTTGTTAGTGACCTGCTGTGCCCTTCTCATTTTAGCATGAACTAATTAAAAAAGGCTGAGGAGCAATGAAAATACTTGAAATGCGTTTTTACAGAGGTGGTTTCCTCTGTTGGACTAGATGGTTGCAATTGCACAACAACTAATTTAGGCTTTCTCAGCAGCTCTTTCAAGGCTGAGAGCTGTTTGCTGGACAAGTATTGTGCATAATGAAATGCATTCTGTATTTTATCCCATTGTAGGCAATTCCTGTATCAAGCCTAATTTCTACAAGCATCCCTCATCTACACTTTTTTAACTGAACTCCGTGCCCTGTGCTGCATTTGCACCAGCACAGTCCTGCTGCATGTTGTCTCAGCACCAGTGGGTGCTATAGTTACGGGTATATCCCGGCATCTGTTTCCCCTCATCAGCGGACTGTTTAAAGGGGTAAATGGTGAGGGGCTGGAGCCGAACATGGAACAACTCAAGCGAAGCGCTGCACGGAGCAGCACCCCTCTCACTCAATCCAGCTCTGAAATTGTTTAGACTGAAGGGCTCTGCGTGGCTGTGAAATAGTTTGTATCAAGTGCTAATACGAGGAAACACCGAAGAGTTTCTCAGAGTCAGGAGTCCAATCTTAAAACTGTTGTTTTGTCACATTGCTTTTAAGTGAGTTTGTGCAGTCTTTTAAAACTGAAAGCCAAGTTTAGGTGCAGTCGTCAAGCCAGATCCATAATCTTGCCATAGTTGGTGAAAATTACGCTGAGAGAAGTTAGTCGTACAGTTGGGTCTGAGAACTCTATAAGCTTGTTAAGAGAAAAGACTATTTGTCGGTACGTTTACAGTCCTGGCATCATCTGTGGTCCTCAAGAGGAATCTTTGAAATTCCGGTTGAGTCTTCACAGCCCAGAGGGATCTCAGAGCTCCTCCTGTTGAGTTCATACACTGTGGCTCTGAGATGCACTCGCTTGGCGGGGCAGGCTGGTGAGCAGTCAGTGCACAGCAGCCCTCGGTAAGGAAATTTTTGGCCGAAGACGTGGGTTAAAGCCAGGTCATGTTATGTGTTCAGCTAATCTGCTTGTAGTTTCTTTGGCAAGGACTTGGGGATGTGCACACGTGCATAGATTCACATATGCTTTCCATCTCCTCCTGTGTGGAAGCAGGCACCGCTCCTGTTTTTCCTGTGTAGGATCTGTGATCTATTGTGGTAGCTGCATAGTGCGGTACTGCCTCCAGTAAATATTCACAGATTTCCTTGTAAGCTGATGCTTTTTTTTCTTTGCTCTCTCCCGTGTGGATACACAAAGGCATGTGTTGTACCTGCTTTACCCTGTGGGATCTACATAATCAGGTCCACAGGTTTAACGGATTTCAACTCCCTTCTGTCTACGGACACGGTTTCCTGTCTCGTTTTGAGCAGGAAGAGCCGAGTCTTTTTTGGTCTTAGCATTCCA